TTTGTTTTAGTTCATGTGCCACAAATGGGCGGGGGATTAGAGAATGGGGGATGGGACGAAGTAGAATTTTTTTGTATTACGTTCTCGACTTTGTAAATTGATTTTCAAGTTCATCATTGAAACATAGTTTGGAAAATGTACATTTGTACACATATACATGCACACATACATACGTATAGAATGTACTAATGTGAGAATGAATGATTCGAATTCAAACAAGCACATTTCATCACTTATGGGTGCTGCTGCTGCCGCCCGAGGCCTGTTTGTGCTACTACTGTGTTGAATTCGTCGTCCATGAATGCTGCTGGCAGGCATTTCCATCCATCCGATGGAAGCATTCATTTTTTTTGTTTAATTTAAACATTTAACAGTTATTTAATTATATTAAGCATATTGCTCGGTATGTATGTATGTGTGTGGTTGTGGGCCTCTGTGTTAAATATTCTACCCGCATTCACAGCAGTAGCCATTTATTACAACAATAGTAACCAGGCGGCGCTGAGAGGTTAAATCGCCAACAAAACGTGTTTTAAAGGTCTTTTTCGTTATGTCGACCCCCCACTCTCCCCTTACTGCCCGATTTGTTTGCTGTATGTACATTTTGTCATTCGGGTTTGTGTTGTTGTTTTTCAATGGGGATTTTTTTCTGTTGCGTTTCAAAAATGTGTTTCTGGACATGTCTTGATGTATGAAAAGTAATTTTGTAGTTTTTTTTAATGGTCACTTAAAATATTTTTTTTTTTTTTTTTTTTGAATTTTATTTTAAAGAGGCCAAATTTGAAAAATAACATATTTATTGGGAAACATCAAGCATATGTGGCAAATTGTTTTTTCGAATATTTTATATAAAGGGATGAGAAAGCAAAAATTATCAATTCAAGTGAAAAAATTCAGAGTTTTCCAAAAAGAAAAAAAAAAAACACACTTGCAACGTATTTTGCAAAAGATCCTGGGTCTTGAACCAAAAAGCTCATAAAGTTCAGTTAAGACAACAGCTCAAGCCGGCCGATCATATCATCAATAACATATTTTCTGATTGGATGTTTGAAATTCATGAATATGATCCGGAATTCCTTCGATGAGGCCCATTTCCAATAAAATGAAGAATCTGGTGCTGAAAACCCCAGAAATATTGTGAAGAAGCCTAAAAGTGCAACTTTTTTGGTTAGATCAACAATTACATTGAATGGAACACAAAGAAACAATGGCTTTTTTATGGTGAAGTGAAAATTTTATCTCTCGAAGAGTTGATCTCGAATGGCGCCCAACGTGACGAAGTCGAAGTTCCTATAAATTTATTTATTTTCTTTATTTATTTATTTTGTTTTTTTTTTTATTTATTTATTTATTTATTTATTTTTTTTTTTTGAATCCTTAAGTCTGGAGTCATGATTTCATCTCGGCGAAGGGAATAGCGAAATATTGGTACAAATATTGCAAAGCTTTTTTAAATTCATTTTTCACATTATAAAACAGGAAAATTGTTTTTTTTTTTTTTTTTTTTTTGGAACTGAGCTTTTTTCTTTTTCCATATTTTTTAGAATGTATATCTTTATTATATAAGAAAATATTTGATTTCAAGAGAAAACTATATTTTTTTTATCATTTTATTATATGCTTTGAGGTCCAAAAATATTTTTCGCTCATTTTTCAATGTATACCTTAAATAATCTTCATTTACAAGTCACGAAAATTATATCAGTTTTCAAATTAACCCATATTTCTTATCAATTTAAAGCAATGACCTTCCCTAACAAAAATTATCTTTAATACAGAAGACCTTCATAAATAACACCCTCTCCCCTCCTTTTCACTTTCTGGTTTAATCACCTAGAAATTTCTCAGAAATCAAACACATTTTCCAATCATTTTTCAAAACAAAAGGGCAGGGGTGGGGTATATTACAAAAAAAAAAAAAAAAATAAACAAAAATAAAAAACCCCCAAACAACACAAAAATCGCTAAACGTTAATACCATCAACAAATCACGATCATGATCAAAAATGAAAAAAAATACTCAAAACCATAACAAACATGTTGGCTGTTGAAGTAGCAACATGCCGACCAACAAGATTAAGCGACAAGTTTTAACCAGTTTTCGAACCAGAATAAACCAACTTTCAACAATGACGACAACAGCGATGAAATAACAAAAATAAAAAAGTAAATATACAACTCCCTCTCAATACGAAAAAATATTTGTTATTATTAATTGCCAGAACTTGGGTAGCCGAGAAAATTACGAAAAAGAAATTATCGTTTGGCGTCTAAACCATTAAACTATCAATCACACTAAAAGCACACACAAACAATTGATAAAAATCACATCAAGTAACAAATCTTGTGGAGTGGCTCATATATAAGACCGAAAACGTTTTGCTGTTATTATTATTATTGGTAATCGTTAAATATTCATAGATACGACTGGCTTGTGTTGTTTGGATTTACGTTTTGGAGGAGATCGACAGCTCACAAAGCTGTTGTATTGAGTTTGTTAGGCTGTAAGCCGCACCGCACCACACCTTCACCTCGTACTACTCCCTGCTGTTTGGTCCCAACTGTTTTTTTTTTCTGTTGTTCGATTGCAGCTCAAACACCAAACGCCAATGAATTCATAATAAATATGAGACAGAAAAACCGGCTCAACCCAAGTCACATGGTTGCTAGGTTTCTTCACACTGTCGTCGTCTGGGCATTCCGAGCGATAATCAAAGCTACGACATTTGGGTGGCTGCTTAAACGCCACTTCTTTAGTAATCGAGAAATTTTGGAATGCAGAGGCGGGGGCGGGGAGTGATGGAGAATAGGGATTATTTCTTAGATAAATAAAAAAAAAATAAAAACAAAAAGAAAGCAAATGGCGTCAAATTGGTCGAGTCGTCCACTTCCAATCGAGGGAGGGAAAGAGTTTACCAACCAAGTAATATACCAAAGCATTTGGAAGGCTCTAGAGCCTTAAAATGTCTCTAAAAGCTTTAACATACCCTAAGTCTTCAAAATATATTTTATCCGACCACAAGGTGGAAGAGGGTAATCCTAGCGAACTTATCAAGAGACATCAAACCAATTGATGAGGATACATCAAATAAAATAATTTGATTTTTGCAGGCCTTGGCGCCCAGCGAAGGCTGGCTGGTCCAACTTTTTTAAGTCTCAAACGTTGTTGCAAATATTTTAAAGTCTTCAAAATATCTTTTATCCGACCACAAGGTGGAAGAGGGTAATCCTAGCGAGCTTATCAACAGACATCAAACCAATTGATGAGGATGTATCAAATAAAATAATTTGGTTTTTGCAGGCCTTTGCGCCCAGCGAAGGCTGGCTGGTCCAACTTTTCTAAGTCTCAAACGTTGTTGCAAACATTTTAAGTTCAGGAAAAAAAGGGGGCTTGAGGCGAGGTAAAATTTTAGAAAGGGAACAGTGATGGCTTTGCTGAAGAAAGAACAGGAGGTCAAAATATGTAGATACATGAAATCTAGTAATGTAACTTTTAATGGCGTCAAACGTAGCCAAAGGCGATTTTTTTATTTTAAATGTGAGACCCAAAGAGAAGGAATCTTGAGACATAAACATTAAACATTAAAAATCCCTCGAATTTGGTCAATTATTTCAATAAGGTACCCAAATGGCGCCCAACGTTATATAGCTGATGTTTTTAAATTTCTTTTTATTAGAAATTAAAACAATGAGAAAACTTCAAATCAAATAATATATTATTATGGAATTTCTTTTTTGGAGCACAACGTGGGCAAAGCCGATCTTTTTAAATTTAATATTAAAATAACTTAAACAAGACAATTTTTATAAAAGGGAACCAAATTGCTCCCTACATTATACAGGGTGAGATGAAACTGCAACCAACTTCAGACTGCTGTCATTTCTAAGTTTCTCGTCCAACAGCTGTTAAAATTATTATTATTATTTTTATTTATTTTTTTTGAAAAAGGTTCAAACACCTAGGAAATGGTTTGCATTACAACAAAAAGGCATATTCGTAAATAGCAAAGTGGTGGTAAATTAAAAATGTGTAAAGTGTTTATAAAAATAAACAATTTCAACCGCATGGAAATTTTACATTGGTTGCAAATATTTATTTGTTATCACGCTTTAAATAAATCCATTTTTTTTGCAAATCATAAATGAATAGAATAATGCAAGAGATTTCCAAGAAATTGTATATCTAAAGAATTCTCCGTGGAAAGAAAATCCCCTTTTTTAAAACGATATGAAATTGTGAGTTCTTCTCTGTACAGCATTGCAACTCAAACTTTGCTAAAGTTCAATGGAATTAACAAACGTCACGTGTTGCCATTAAGTTGAGGTGGGGGCAACAACATGAACAACTTCGAAACTGGAATTTTTTGATGAAATATTACACAAAGTAAATTATTTTGATTGCAAAAGCAAAATTGACAACTGTACACATGGAGAAAATATTTTGGTAAATATAATTAAATATATAAAATATTTTAATATTATAATTAATATTTTTCTTATCATTGAAAACAACAATATTTAATATATAAAATATATTTTCTTTCAATATTTAATAAAAATATAATATAAATATATTAAATTATATAATTTGTTATAAATTTCAATATTTCATAAGTATATAATAAAAATCAAATTGTTTTGCCATCGCAAAAAATACTTAAAAATCATTTTTATATTATTTGAAGCAAATTTTTAGTATAAATCTAATATTTTTTCTAACCTTGATACTTATCTCAAAAAATTAACAATTATTTTTTTTTTTGCAATTTTCCTATGTATTTTTTTTATTTTTGAATCGTTTGTTTATTTTTCCATAAAAATGCTCATAAAAATTAAACAAACAGAAACAAGATAAAGAAAAGATAATTGTTAATTTTTCTTTACGAAAAAGGTTGAAACTCTGATACAATAAAAATATATAACAATAAAATAAAATAAAAACATGACAAACAATGAAAATAATGACAAATCAAATAAAAAAACAAAGCATTTTTACTAACCTGATCATTCATTTCGTTCGTTTATTTGTTTAAAAGAAAACTCTTTGCAAAAATAATAATACTGGATTTTTTTTTGGTTGGGAAAGAGAGAAAAAGTAATATGTTGTAGAATGTTATGCAATCGAATTTGTAAGGCGACACCAACAACGAAGTTTGGTAAATGGATTAAAAAAATAAGGAGAAGAAGAAGAAAAGGATAATGTTATGTAGTTTCGGAGCGCATTTATTCTGCATAGGCAACCAACAATTTAAAGGGATTGTGTAACAATTTTAATAGAAGAGACAAAGCAGGAGAAGAGTGTAAACTTAATTTTGCAAGTGAGAAAGAGGGAGTACCTCATAGGCCTCAAAGCGAATTCATTAAAGGAAAACTGATTTTCCACTCCTTTCTCTCTTTTTCTCTCCTAATTGTAGGTGTTCCTTTGATTTCTTTTAATATTTACAAAACTTTTATTCTCTCCAAATTGTGGAGTAATTATGTCAGTAGCAATGAAGGAATGTTGAGTAATTTCAAGGAAAGAATGAGTACACATTCTTGTTTCTGTAGTGAATGAAAATTAATATTCTCTCATTTTAACCGGGAAAACCCCGAATATATTTTATTCCAATAAGAAGATTATGACTTTTTATGCAATGTTTAGTAGAATATTGTACAATTATTTGAAGGGGGAAAATGTAAAAATCTTTAGAATTAATTGGGAGAAACAAATCTGTCCCATAAAAAAATGTGAAACCCTCTATTATATATTTTTATGAGAAGTATTTAACAAATTTGTTATTCTATAAAATATGTCCTATTTATTATTATAAGGTGAGAGAAAAAGAGAGAGACAACTTTATAAATAAATCCCTATTACATATTGTTTAGTATCTATTGCAAATATTTCTTAAGAGAGACAGCTCCTGGAATATTTTTTTATTGCGGAAAATGCTAAGAGAGTCGTTGACGAGACAAAAGAAAGATGACATCTTTTAAGTAATCTCTTCTAATGCCTGAGTATTCCATTAAAAGCAAGGAGATTATTCTCTTAAGGAGCTCAGTAAATATAAAATTTATTTTAAGCTTATATTTAGTAAGTGTGAGGATTCTTTGTGGTATTTCTATATTAAAAAAAAAAAGAAAAAATCGGTTTCTTTGTGAAAACTAATTCTTACTTCTCCATGAAGTCTCACAAGTCAGACAATACAATTTTAATTAGGTTTACCTTGATTGAATTAATGAAAATGGAATGACAAAACATTAGTTTCTTAATTAAACCAGTAAAGAGAGATCGAATGTCGGGCGAGGTCGATTATAAATATTTGGTAGAGCTAACCCTAACTAATAATGCGTACGTATTATGACTTTAAATGGAAGCTATATACAAATATAAACCGATCTGACCGAATTTGAGAGAGGTATTTCTGGGCTGCATCTGATATTTGGTACCAAATATAGTTATATCTATATCTGAACCGGTTTTCACCAAATTTTAAGTACTTGCTTCTAGGCTGAATTCGGTCGTATGTATCAAAATCCACTCTATTGGGGCTGATGTGATGCACAATAATCGAAATTTAAAATCTGATTTACAAGATTTAGAGAAATTTAAGTTCAATTCTTACATGTTAGACCATAGGTATTTATTCAGAAAAATTAATTGACCCTTACAATCAATTTAAAGAGCTTGAAATTTTAAATTGGAATTTGGTATGACCTCCTTGACATCTTTGCAGTCAAAATAATTATTTAAAATTACATGTAATTTTAGTTCAGATCTCGGGGAAAATAATTCTAATGTTTTACATTAAAGTTCACAAATAATGAATTGAAAAAGTTGAGTTTTAAATTCTTGTTTTAAGATTAGATATAAAAACATTTGGACCGGTTTCAATCAGAGCATTTTATCTAAGTTATTTAAAAGAGAATGGGGATTAGAATTGATGTTTTTAGTAATTAAACTATTGTATATTTCATGATTACATATGAAGAGATTTGAGACGGGGTTAATCAAAAAATATAATGCAATAACAGTGAAACTTTTTTATATATTTTCTTGTTCCGTTATCTATTATTTCTTAACAATTTTAGAAAATGTTAGAAAAACAGAACAATATAATGTTAAAGAAACTAAACTACGAACTCCTTTTATGATTATGTAATGTGAAAATTTTCACATCATAAAGAACACTCCCACAGAAGGATAACGAAATGAAAAAAAAAAAAAAAAACAAATCCTAACTAACAACTACTCTTCACCAATTGGTGGTTTCTCCCCATTGGAAGAGAGTTACATAGATTATTTTTCAGAGATGTGAGCTTTGCAAAGGAAAATAAATATATTTATTTACATATAACAAATTTCTAAAATATGACAATTTTATGGAGGAATTACTATTTCTTTTATTTTTTGACGAGGCAAAGTTATAAAAATAATACACTCAAATTGTATCAATATCGCTGTCTACACTTATGCATTAAAATAAAATGTAATTTTTAATTTCTATTAACTAAAAGGGATTCTTTTTAAATACAAGCTTTGCAGTTTTTTTTTTTCCTACAAAACAATCCCTAAGGGCTTGTAAAACGTAACATGGTCATGGAATTGCTCTCCTGGAATGCGTGTATGTTTTGGAATAAAAGAGAAAACTTCCTTAAGGGAACAATAACCCCAACTCTCTGCTTAACTCTCACATAACATTCAGCATCAATTTTATATATTTTTTTAAATATTTCATTTGTATTTACTTCCATTTATTTAATGTACTACATATAAAAGTAAAACGACTAAAATAATTTAAAGAATTTATAGAATGAAAAAAATCCATAAGCGAATCCCAGTTTTACTCCCACATTCTAGACAATATAAATTGTATTATTATTATTATTAGTTTTTTTTTTTTTTTTTTTTGAATACTTAATTTATATTTACTTCCGTTTATTTTATATGCACTATAATTTTTTGAACTGAAATAATTTATTTCCCTATTCTCTTCTATTTCTCTTAATGTATCTTCTCTGCTCAAAGAGAATATTCCTTTATTGAGAATATTGGTCCCAATTTCTTCTTTAACTATTATCTTATCGACAACATTACTTTTTAATTACTGAGTTGTAATTTTTTAATTCCTAATTTCTATTATTCTGGATATTTCCAATAATATTAAAAAAAAAAAAAAAAAAACATCTGCAAATAACTTAAATGTTACTCTTTCATGATTCTCAATAGCTCTGTTCTTAAGGAATTTATGTCTCCAATTGGGACAATATGATTATTTTATGTTAATGTTTTGTTTTTTTTAAGTTTATTTATTTTCCTATTTTAGTTTTTCTGATTTTTTTCTTTTTTCTAAAAAAACAGTACGAAATAATTTCAAAGTTACATTTTATTTCCTATTTCTCTCAAATGCTCTGCTCTTAAGGATTTTATGTAAATATTTCAAAGAAAAATTTCCCTTGTGGCTAAATGGAGCGCAAATCAAATGGAATTTATTTCTCAAATGGGGAAAAAAATATATGTCTCTCTTTACATTTTATATCTTCTTGTGGAAACAAAAAACAACTGGAAATAATTGTAATATTTCTCTCTCTCCGTAAGGTTTTGCTCTTAAGGATTTCCTACTCTTTCAGAGTGTACAAGTTTTTTTCTCCTTACTCTATATCACTTATTTGGGTTGGAAAACCCCCACAATTTTATTATCTCTCTCTCTCTCTTCAACTCACGTGTAACAAATAAGCTTTTGCGAGTGTAAAAAGGAAACTCTCCATCTAAAGAATTTATGAACAAATATTAAAGAGAAGCCAGAGAAAATTATTATGAAATGAAATTGTTTATTATGTCTTGTGTATCGAACAGATTTGAAGGCGATCTAAAACTGAAGAAAACTATAATCAATGATTTATAGGGCAAACACCAAAGAAAACTGGTGATGTGGAGGCAGGCAAGAGGACCAAAATGTGTGTTTCTTTTTTAATTTATTTTTCATCAATTCAGGGCCATAATGGACCGTCCGACAGACAAACAGATGGATGGATGGTTGGTTGGTTGGCCACAAGGCAAGCAATGTTTTCTGCGAAAATCGAACATAAAAACAGTCGTCAGAAATAATAGAATTTTTAACTAAGCATCTTTCCTTTTTCTTCTTCTTGCTACTTATTTCATTATAACTTTTTTAATTATAAAAAAAAAATAAAATGTAAATGTCGGAGAATAAGAAGAAAATACATGGGCGAAAATACAAAAAAGTTAAATTTTTATTTTGAAAAAAAAAAATTACGCATAGAAACAAAATTGGCGCATTTTTTCAAAATGGTATTCAATTTCGAATTAAAACAATTTGCACGTTAGCACTGGTCCTTAAGGCAATACACTAGTTCAATCTAATTGTAAAGTATTTCACATTTTCTTCCTTTTCTTCTTCTTCTTATTCTTGCCAAACCACACGAAAAATGTCCATTTTTGTAAGTTACACATTTTTCTTTTGGGCGACAAGAAAAATTAATCGATTTTTTCGCAAGGACATATTTTGCCTTGAGAATACCACTCTCTTTTCTTTTGGGACGCGCCGACAACGAGAAACGAACCCCTAACGAAGCGAAGCTGCAAGCCAAAGAAAAAACTTAATACCGTTTTTTTTTTTCTTTTTGTTCTCCTCTATTCCTTTCAAAGCTGTTAGCTGTAGGTACTTGAGGTTTCTTTTCAGTGTAGTACCAACACTTTTGTCCGTGTATTGTTTTTTTTTCGTATTAAAATTTGCTTTCGTTTCTTTTCGCTTTTAGTTGTCTCTGTTTTCTTTTTTTTGTATCTATGTGTTTTGTAGGAGAAGGAGATGCCTGTGCGGCGGCTATGTGGTGAACAAGAAGTGAATGTGTGTGTATGTGTTGGTTACCTTTCTGTAGTGGCACTGGTGTTACACAATTTTTCTCGTTTTTATTTCGTTAGGGGTTAAAACTACCCCCTTTTGAGGAATAATTTTCTGTTAGGTAGCGAAACGTTTTTCTTGCGTTTTGTTTCTTATTTCAATAAAAAAATTAAACACTTTTTTAATATTTTTCTTTTTTTCCAAAACTCTGTAAATTAAATTAAAAACATATTTAATAAAATTATAACTCTTTGCTTTGAGATATCCTTTTTTTCAATACACGGGTTGTTGTATTTTTTCAGATTTTTGTTTCTTTCTTTTTTTCGAAATGTTTCAATCGATTTTTTGTGTTTTATTTTTAATTTTCTTTTTAAACAAGCAAAAACTTGTGCTTATGTTTTTTTATTCTTTCTTTTTTAGTTTAGTTTATACATATATAAGATTTTTCTTTTCAATATATATGTATATATAAAATTTTTCTTCTACTTTTTTACAAACAACCCGGAGACGTGTAAGAAATTATTATTATTTTACTTATTCCAAGACCGACCTCTTCAGTACGGTATCAGCGCTCGACTGATATTTTTCAACGAGTTGCGAGTGCTTAAGCTTTCATCACCGTCACACAAAATCGAGACAGCCAGCCCCACACCGTACACAGATACAGAAATTCTCTCACACACAAACACACATGCACAGGGACTGACGTGCCCGTTCTCAGCTGAGCTATAGGAAAAAGCCAACAAGAACACACAAAGAGGAAGTTCATGTTGTACACATAGCTCACACAAATGGGGGCTGCTATGCCGTAAGGCCGCTGTAGTAGAAGTTAGCTAGCCATACTCACTCATGCAAACATGTATCAAAATGTTGTTGTTCTCACACTCTCCAACTATCTACATATCTCTTAGATAAAAATGTAGTTCTCATCCAAAAAAAACCCCATTAGGTGGGTACTTGTCTAAACACACGAGAATGACTACAAAATAATTTCCATATGAGAAATTCTTGCTCTTTCACAATTAGATTAAGTGTGGGCAACTTTGAGGATTTGGAAAAATCGCTATTAAAATAATGTACCATACATCTACAACTTTATTTAAAGTGGTTGAATCCAGCAAAAAATTGGGAGCTGTATGAGCCAAATAACCCATTAAATGATAATGCAAACAAACTGTCATCTACATTACTAGAAGGTTAGAAATAATCAGAGATGGGTATAATGCACTGTATTTTTAGTGCACTAATAATTCCACTATCTCTGTTCATTTAGTGGTAGTGAAAAATTAAATTGCACTACCACTAACCATTTGGTGATATTTAAAAAAAATGCACTGTATTTTTAGTGCAATTCACTTTCACTTAATTTCATTATCACTGTTCATTTAGTGGTAGAGAACTTTTTTATTCCACTACCACTAAATGGTTAGCGGTAGTGAAAAATTAAATTGCATTACCACTAACCAATTAGTGATATTTAAAATAAAATCCACTACCACTAAATTTTAGTGGAAGTGACATTTCAATAGCACTACCACTAAATTTAGTGGTATTTAAAAACATTTCCACTAAATTAGTGCTATTTAGAAAAGTAATCAAGTTTTATGAATATGTACTATATATTCTGGATTGTTGTTCGCTATTCACTTTAATACACATTAATACTTATATACATAGGCCGGTTATTACATCTTACCGATAGATAAAAAAGTGATGTTGTCGGACACATTTATCGTTTTTCGTTATTACAAGTTTCATTTAAGTATGGACTGTCCGATAAGCAAAAGGTCAGACCAGCTTCCCTTTATCTTTTAACGTAAAGTTTACTGAATTCATGTTGCCATATTTTTTATTGATAATAGAGCAATAACAGCAAAATTTTTGTAAATAAAAAATGGATAACGCAAATCGTTTATTTTATATTGAAGAACTGAATTATAAATTTATTTCACGAAATTAATTACAAATTCGCATCTTTTATTATATTTAAACTAAAATGAAGATGCCATTGTGACAAAAATGCATATATTTTAAAGGAAAGATGTAATAATGAGAGCCCGATAATGTGAACTTTATACCTCACTTTTCCTAAAGTAAGGAATAACCAAAGTGGACTATAAAGGAAAGATATAAGAACGGGCCATAGTGTTTTTTTTTGGCTTCGCTAAAATTTAAATTCGCTAAAAAATGGTAGTGCATTTTTTTTTTGTTTGAAAAATCACTAAATTTAGTGGTAGTGCATTTTTTTAATATCACTAAATAGTTAGCGGTAGTGCAATTTAAAAGGGTTAGTGGTAGTGGAATAGAAAATTGCACTAATACTAATTATTTAATTCTTAGTGCACGAAAAATTTGCAATATGCCCAACCCTGGAAATAATGGGCTATTTCATAAAAAAATAAAAAAGCAAAACAACTTATTTTTATACCCTCAGCCATATGCCTAAAAAGCATATCTATCATTTGATACGGTCAAAACGTGATTAATCGAAATAACGGTTTTAGACCTTGGACCAAAAACCTTTAGACCAAAATTTTTAAAGAAAATAATTTACTTTATAAAAAGAGACCATGCCAATATTTTTGTTAGTGCTAGACCATGTGCCAAAAACACTTGGAATAATTATAAATCGTATAAAATATGAAATAAGATCCAGATAGATTTCAAATTTCCCACATCTCGATATCTTTATTAAAACAAAATGTAGTATGATGACGGACCAGAGGCCTGCCCACAAAGGATCGACATTTTGAAAAATCATAACTGTTATAAAATGAGAAATAATTGTTCGAGTTTCTATGAATTTCGTACAGCTCAATATAGGATAAAATCTAAAATCTTCCCCACAACGGGTAAACATTTTGGATAACAAAACGCTCATAGAATTCTTTGTAAGATTTCCTTTAAATTTCACACATCCAGATATTTATTAATATTTTTTAACGAATGGTACCTGAATCACAATTTTCAATAATTATATTTCTCATAATTTGCGAAACAATACAGAGATTCTTGGAGTATCTTAATATGTCTCAAGCAGAAATCTGATGTAGAGAATGGAGAATGTTTTTGTCTCTGACGTCATCCACCTGCAATGATGCTTTATAGAAGATTCTGGCATAACTCACATAAAGACGGCCAAAAGACGTATAACTTTAAACAATTGCTTCTATATAATAGTTTTGAGCTTAACTCTATGTCTTGGGGGTATTATAAGTTTGATTGGGCAAAAAATTATGTAACACCTCGAAATATTGGTCCCCGACATAGGAAACTATATATGGAAACTATGTTTGTCATTCCGTCTGGCCATGTTAATTTGTAACCACTCTACAGGTCACAATTATGGCCCGATCCTCACGATATTTAGCATGGAGGTGGGGCTAGGGTCAGAATATGAGATCGGAGATGATCGCATATTATTTAGGGGTTGGAATGGACCAAAATAGAAAAATGTTCTGATTTTGCAGTTGCTCTACAGGTCACAATCATAGACCAATCGACACGGGGTTTAGCATCGGGCTAGTCAGAAGTCTACCATTATGTTTGGTCATCGGACGATATTTAGCGGGTAAAATAGACCAAAACTTTCATGTAAAAAGTACGAAAATGTCCACTAAACCACGAATATTTTTAATCCTGGCGAAATCACAAATGCACGGAAATATCACTTTTGACCATTACATTGATGCTCATATCCAAGATATCGAACATATAGCAAAATATCATATATCAATGAAGGGGGTGTTAGTTAGACCGCTTATAACTCAAGACAGGACGGCTGGACCGATTTTGACAATTCTTACAAATTCGGAATGGCCTCCTGCCAAAAAAGGATAAAATTTAAGAAAATCGAGTGAAAATATGCCAATAAAAAGAGAATATTTTTCATATTTGACTTACAATATTGAATTTCATGTTTGGTAATATTCACCTTACAATACTCGCAATTATAGTCTGATTTTCAAGAAATTTTGCATGGGAATATAGTTTGGATCGGAATATAGTTAAGATCTGCTTTTCAAGATGTTAGGGGTTCAAATTGCGTTAATTCGACGCAATAATGTTATCATATAAGTTTCTATTTTATAATTAGTTAAAAAAAATCGTCCCATTTTAAACGCCGCATTAGCATCACTGGTCGTATTCAAGTACATTTGCTCAAGCAAAGTTCCCATTGATAACGTCATCAAATGAGAATCAGGAAAAGAGCGCGAGAGTGTGAGCGAGAAATTACATCGATTCCAGTTAAACAAATAGCAGAGCAACAAAAATGTTAACAAAACAATTGTAGAGAAAGAACATTAATTTCTTAGGTATGCAAAATTAATTTCATTTTAAACCCGTAAATATAAAAAAATATACCAAAAATTTTAAAAATGATGTAGCTAATAACATTTGCACAATTATAAACTTTTGAGATACTGTAAAACAGTCATTTTACATGATTTGCAATGGTCCCCAACGCCCCCACAAGAAAAATGTGTCAAATTATCTTTAAAATAACAATAAGGGAGTGTTATTGTGGGGCTCATTTCTTGTTCTCTCTCGATCTCTCATCCCTCGTGTTCCGTATTTGATGGAAAAATTTTGTACAGAGCCTAATTTTCCTACGGTCTTGTAAAAGAAATGTCTGGAAATTTTAGTATAACAAGAACTACAATAACAACAACAATAACCACACTAGCAATAGTTAATAACAAATCTAGAGATTATAAATATGTTTTATTAACATTAAACCACAATACATACACACGCCACAGGCCAATTTTGCCCTGTAATCAATTACTTTGTGCTCTCCAATATCTCCCCCACTCTGCCAACAAATTAGCCTCTTCTTCGGCGAAGAGAATTTGTATTATTTTCAAATGTAAGGCACTGTGACAAGTGCCACCGCACACACATTTCGACAAAAACAAGAGGAAAAAACACAACAATTGTCGGAGGAACAACAAAAACCACACATTAGCACATTTTGCTTCTTCTTCTTGATATTTCATATTTGTATTGCTGCATTTGTTGGTGGCTAACAGAGTAAAGTAAAAGAGAATTGAAATAATGGCGCGCGCAATTTTTTTTTTTTTTTGTGCTGGGAGAAGGCTCTCTTTGTCGAACACACTGTGCAGCAAGAAGAAGACCTTAATGCGAAAATGAGGTATTTCAAAGGGGAATACTAAAATCATGTATACGTCTTTTATAAATATTAGACGTTGCTTTATGGATAGTAGGATATATGGGTCTTCTAGGGGCAAAATGGTATGACACAATGACAAGCCCTTTCCTTTCTCTCTCTCAGAAGTGGCTTAGGTTCAGCTGAAAATAGAAGACACGTGTGTTTTAGAAAATTAACAAAGCCTCTATATAACCCTAATACAAGGATTCCAAAAAAGCTTTATCTGAAAATTTCTAAACATGTGTAAGAGTGGGAAATTTGC